ATTTCGAAAGGCAGACTAGCCGAGTTTTTGAGGAATTTCTAGAGGCAAGCTAGCCGAGATCTTTGAGGAACCACCTCAACCAACCTGACCTAGAGCGCTGAGAAATTTTCGGATGCAAGCTGGCAGAGATTCGGCTACGGTTTACTTTACCCCCCCCCCCAGCCGGAAGTTTTTGGCTATAACTTTTTTATTTTACATTATTGTAGGCTCAAATTAAAACTCTTAGTATATTTTTCGCCGCTATATCGAATGGCGTTGCAAAATCCCGACAAAATAAGCGAAAATACCGACAACTTTGAGACCCTTCCGGTGTGGGGGGGGTAAAGTAAACTCTTACCAGAGATTCTCGTAGAACCTTGAAGGGCAAGCCAGCCAAGATCCGTGAAGCGCTTACTAGGGGCGAGCCAGCAGAAATCTTTGAGGAATTTTATGGTGAACCTAATCGATGCTTTTGAGGAATCTAGAGGCAATCCCTGAGGAATTTCTAGCGACCAGCTGACCGAAAACTTCCAGGAATTTCCAAGCGCAACCTTGCCGAGGTCCGTGAGGGAAGGCACGTCAGCTGCTCGTCCATGAGCAAGCTAACAGAGATCCTTTAAGAATACTGTGCGCATTAATGAGGGACTATTTCCGATGCGGGGTGTCCCAAAAAGTCTAGCCCCACAGCTAGGAGACCACAAAAAAGGCCCAGCCAGCTGAGCCCCGCCGTTTTTAGCGTAGGGGCGCGGATTGGATACAGAATTTGAAAGTGTTCAGTTTTGTGTTCCGTTGCTGAACAAATGACGAGTCGAAATAGCCGTAAAAAACATGAGTGACGTTACATCAAATTTCTGCTCAAATGTTCTTTCAACCTCCAACATTTTTATTGGTGGGTTTGAGCACTTCGCGAAAAGGAGACAGAAAGCAGGAAATGAGATAGAAGAACAACAAGAAAACGACAATCCCAAAAACCGGCAACGTTTCCAAATTTCGCCCAACTTTTCGATTCGTCTCCGGGGCCACGGGCGGAAAAGTTGGTTAACAAAATCGTTTAGGGGAACACGTGGGATGTGCCCCCCAGGGCAACCCTGGCTCAGCCATTCTCGGCCAACTGGGAGACATCCGATTCAATCTCGGCAACCCCATCCCGCCCCGGATGATCGAATGGAGGCGGAGGCACCGACCAAATAGTTGACGAATAGGGCGAAGAGTTGGACCGGAAATACACAGAAATTTATGCCGGAAATTTCGAGCGTAAAATATGTTCTATTAAGGCGTCGACGAAGCGGACGTCAGCTTTACGCGTAGGCTTAGGCTTAGACTTAGGCTTAGGCTTAGGCTTAGGCTTAGGCTTGGGCTTAGGCTTAGGCTTAGGCTTAGTTTCGGCTTATGCTTAGGCTTGGCTTTGAGGACCTGCTTTTAGGCTTGGTTTAAGCTTGGCTTAGGCTTAGACATAGGCCAGGTTTAGGCTTAGGCTTGTGTTAGTCTTGGGCTTAATATTAGGCTTCGGCTTAGGCTTAGGTTGGGCTTAGACTTAGGCTTAGCCTAGGCTTGGCTTAGGATTGGCTTAGGATTGACTTATGCTTCGGCTTCCGCCTCGATTTTGGCAAAACACGTTCAATCCGAAAACATCCGAGTAAAGCTACCAAACTCCATGCTGCACCTAATGACGAAGGAACGGAACGCGAAACGCTCGAGCCCATGTGCGTTCGCTCGTCCATTCAGGGTCAAGTGGAATAAATATTGGCTGAGCAAAAGAGGGGCCCTTATTCGAGCGATTATGCAGGCAAATTGAGAGGAGGGACGCCGAAATGGGAAATGGGAGAAGAACGGGCTCATTTCTCAGGTGAAAAAGGATCCGCGGCTTGCCAAAATAGCATCTGGCTTTGAATGAATGAAAATCTAATCAAAAATTTAGAACTTGCTGTCATGGTTCTTTTGCCTTATCGGGGGGGGGGGGGCACGACGAAAGCACTTCTTTTATTGACCAATTTAAAAGCTCAACTTTATTACGCTACAGCATAGCAATAAAACAATCAATATCGAACGTGTAAGGCGGGTTGGGGGCTGATCATCTTCTGGCGGCCGCGCGCCGCCAGGAGGCGCTCAATTTTGCGGTAGGCGGAGCGGCTGAGGGCGGCCGCCGGTTTGAGTACGTTCCACAACATCCACAGCAACACGTTGCACACGTAGCTGAATGGAAATGGATAGTTCGTGAGGCTTAGGCATGACTTAGGCTTAGGCTTAGACTCAGGCTCAATCACAGGCTCAACAATAGACTAAAGCTTTCGAAGCCTACCGTAATCCGTAGGTGGCCGCAGCGTTGCGGGACCCATTTTGTGGCATAAACGTCCAAAGGGCCCAGGTGGCCACGGCGAATAGCCAGAAAATGAGGAGCTACAAAACAAAAATTAACAAAAAATCTTCTCCTCACCTCAACGAGGATAAAATTGTCTCGCGGCTTCCGGAATCGCCACTGAAACTTTTAGTTTTGATTAGACCGTATTTCCGTTCCCCCTAACCACCCCGATAATGCCAAAGCTCTGATTCTGATCATCCCCACCTTCTTTATCACTAACAAATACGCGATAACGGATACGAAGGGTAGATTAAAAAATACGAGCAAGTAGTTGGAGATGGCGTTGATGGTGGAGGTGACCCGGGATGCCCAATCGGTACGGATCGACACCCATTCCATTTGGGTGGGGCTAAAAGGAACATATTTGCCTTTGTAAAGGCCCTTATGTCATGGCTTATTTGTTGGACGGTTTAAAATATAAAAAACTAACACAAAAACTATTCTTGAGCCGGGGGCGAAGAGGATAAACGCCAGGTGGCATATTGCGTAGCCGACCAGGCAGCAGATGCACGTCTGCAATAGATTTATAAAACAATTCAAAGCGTGGAAAAGACAAAAAAGAGAGAGTGAGAGAGAGAGAGAACGAGAGAGAGAGAGAGAGAGAGAGAGAGAGAGAGAGAGAGAGAGAGAGAGAGAGAGAGAGAGAGAGAGAGAGGAAGGAGGGGGACCGATAGACGAACAGAGAGCGAGTGAGCGGGAGACAGTGAAAGAGGGAGAGTGAGAGAGATCTAGACAGAAGGAGAGAGAGAAAGCGAGAGATCTATGCTATCAAAATCCGCTGATTTGTAGCGTGTTCCATTGCGTATAGATTTTGCTTTTCCGGCTCCTTTAGAAGGCCTATTCCAATAAAGAACCCACCCTATTGACGAGGGTGGACTTTCAGAATCTCTAAATTTCAGAATCTCTAAATGTCAGAATCTCTAAATGTCAGAATCTCTAAATGTCGGAATCTCTAAATTTCGGAATCTCTAAATTTCTTTGTTTCTCGCCGCCGAGCCATACAGTTTTTGGCGCAAATTGAGACTGTAATGCGCTTTTACCCAAAGACGCCCCAGAAAACTTTTTCTGGGGGTAGTTTTTTGCGCTAATCACGTAAAACGTAGATGCATTTCCATAGCGCCATTTTTCCGTGCTTGGTTACAACTGTTGTCTTCAAAACTTGGTTTTGCTATAAGCAATTCATTTTGACTTTTTGTGATTCGTGGTTACGTTTTTCGTGATCAGGGCAAAAAACTACCCCAAAAAAAGTTTTCACAGGCGACGTTGAGTAAATGCGCCATACAGTTTCAATTTGCGCCAAAAACTGTATGGCTCGGCGGCGAGAAACAAAGAAATTTAGAGATTCCGAAATTTAGAGATTCCGACATTTAGAGATTCTGAAATTTAGAGATTCTGAAATTTAGAGATTCTGAAATTTAGAGATTTTGAAATTTAGAGATTCTGAAATTTAGAGATTCTGAAATTTAGAGATTCTGAAATTTAGAGATTCCGACATTTAGAGATTCTTTCCTTTAGAATTTGTATTTTAATAGAGGAAGGAGGGGGACCGATAGACGAACAGAGCGCGAGTGAGCGGGAGACAGTGAAAGAGGGAGAGTGAGAGAGATCTAGACAGAAGGAGAGAGAGAAAGCGAGAGATCTATGCTATCAAAATCCGCTGATTTTGTAGCGTGTTCCATTGCGTATAGATTTTGCTTTTCCGGCTCCTTTAGAAGGCCTATTCCAATAAAGAACCCACCCTATTGACGAGCTTAGAAAATATCCTAGCCGCAAGCCCGGGCTTTGCCAGAAAAAGTGCTCGATGAAGTGAGAATAAGCAGAGGCTAAACGCCGTCCCATTCCAGCCGATCGTCACCCCGGCGCCGAACAGCTAAATGTCCATAGAACTCATGAATCCATAGGGCGATTTGCTTGAAATTATAAGCACTAATATAAAAAAGCACCCTTTATCATCTGACCAATTTTTTAGACTTAAACGCGCGAAATGGCAAAGTTAAAGCCAAAATACTCAAAGGAAAATTGAAAATTTTATTTTTACCAGTATTTTTCTACGAAATGATAAAAACTACCGTACCCAACGCATATTCTTATCAGACGTGCTGGCATAGAAGTCGGTAGCCATTAAATACCCGGAAAACGAGTGCGAGATTAGCTGCAAACAATCGCAAATGGCCATCCCGATCAGCAGAAACGGGGCCAACTCGACGGATATTGAGGGTTGTCTACGTAAAATGCGCTGAAAATTGGTTCCATAAATTGAGAGAAGCATTTCAAGTCTACTTTCCTAATTTTTAAAACTTACATAGATATAGTGGAGCTGGAGGAGGAAGAAAATGGAGGAAAAGGTGATGGTGACGACGCCGAGTACGAGAAGCGCCGACTGTTCCGCTTCTACGGCGAGGCGTAAGGTCTCGTACTGGTTGTCGTAGCTTTCATAGTCGGTGTTCATATTGGCATCTGAAGGAATGGATTTGGGTGAGGGAGACGGAGAGAGCGAGAGAGAGGGAAAGCGAGAGCGAGAGCGAGAGAGAGAGAGAGAGAGAGAGAAAGTGAAAAGATTGCTCACACTTCTAAGAATTCCTCAACCAACTCGCCGTGTTTTTTAAAAGATTCGTCGCATAGCATGGATTTCCACCGATTTGTTGTCGTGCGAACGGTTGCACGCCCACCCCCCGAAAATGTGGGCCCGCCGCACGGAAATTGTCAATTAGGGGGGCTCTCCTTCACAAAAATTGGCGAGGGAATATGTCGGAGTTTGTGGCTTTTGAAAGTGCAGTTCGAACAATGGTTTTTCCAGGGTTTTCGAGACCACAGAGTTCGGAAACTATGAAATGTTGCGGAAAAACAAGCTAAAAGTCAATCGATATACAAGGTAACACCCATGATATTTTTTTCTTATTTTTCTTACACAGTTTAATTAAAAGGATGATAAGTAATTCCGGGTAGCGTAGTCTCAAAACGTTTAGGCTCAGGCTTAGGCTTAGGCTTAGGCTTAGGCTTAGGCTTAGGCTTAGGCTTAGGCTTAGGCTTAGGCTTCAGCTTAACTTAGGCTTAGGCTTAGGCTTAGGCTTAGACTTAATATTACAAACGAAAGAGTCCGATTTCCCGAATATCCTTCAAAAGCTGACGCCGCCAATTTTTGACGCTGCAAATCGACTTTTGCGCCCCTCGTCGCCTCCGCATAAATTGATATGCGCGGGCAGTGGAAGCATGTAATTTCACGTAAATTATTGGTACAACGGCGATTTTGGAAAGACAAAACTGGCCGAAATTACGGGACAGCAGAGATCCGGGTCGACAATTGGGGGGCACCTTTGACGATTTTGAGAGCCACTTAAAATTTCCATGATTTTGGGTATAGGTATCTATGAATTCATTACATACTTAGAGCCTTTGTCTAGCTTTTGCCTCCCCCCCCCCCGATACTGCAATAGAATCAAATCAAAAAGTGGCACTAGCGAAAACCTAGTTTCAGCAACTTCCGGTGCCAAAATCACACAAAATCCAGCCAAAAAAAATCGCTTTTCCCTGGGTTATTTACCCGAAAGTTAACCCGCCCATTTAGAGCGTCTTTAAAATGTTGTGAATATATTTATAAAATTGTTGGTTGTGGAGTCTGTAATTCGAGCGTCGACATCAGCGCCAACCAGCGGATTCGCACGTGTTTTTTTATCGTATCCAAGGTAGGTATTTATTCGCTGTAACAAGTAGGACTGTCTCTCCGCGCTAAAGAATGCCCCAGAAGAGAGAGAAAGAGGGAGAGAGAGAGGGAGGGAGAGAGATTGCTAGAGAGAGAGAGAGAGAGACATAGAGAGAGAGAGAGAGAGAGAGAGAGAGAGTAACAGACAGAGGGAGAGAGTAACAGACAGAGGGATAGAGACAGAGAGAGAGAGAAAATGGCCCCAGCTTTACATTCCGTCGTGCTCCCCATCCGGACGGTTCAGGATTCGGCTCTAAGATAACCAAAATGTAAAAATGTGCTAATGCCAACCAAAAAAAATGCGCAAATTAGTAGAGGAAAATAATTTTTTAATCATTAAAAATTCTAGCTAAGTGTTAAAATATTCAGTTTTTATTTAGTTGTTATAAGTTAATTACTTGGTTGGTTTGAGAAGTTAAATTCAGGTTTTGGGTACCTGGTGAGCGAGCAAGACCTCGTGCTCCTTGGCCAGCACCTTCCGCTCCTCCATCACCTCGAAACGGTCAAGAATCAGCGACATCTGAAAAATTGTGGTAAAGGATGGTCTTTTAAAGGGACGGTGACAGGCGGCTCCAAAAGCCAAGCTGCAACCCACATCCCCCAGGATGCGTCCGATCGAGTTTTCGATGTGGTCGATGCGGCGGTTCAGGCTGAATTGAGGGTTTTTGGTAATTGATGTTCGTCAAGCCGTTAAACCCTAAAATGTTAAAACTAACGCCATGGTGTCGTTGCTCTGAGCTGTGCCGTGCGAGCGGAAATCCCGGTCCGAGGCGAGCTCGTTTTCGATCTTCTCCTTCTAAAAAAGGTTGGATTTTTGAGATTTCGACAGGATTAACCAATTACGCTACAAATTTACCATTGGAATAGCCGGTTACGACATGAAATTCTAACCGATTAATCGGTTACGACAGGAAATTCGTATCGTAATACGCGGTTACGATAGGAAATTCGTTTCGGAATAACCGGTTACGACATGAAATTGCTTCCAAGCCCCTTAAAGGACCGTTGAAGCTAAAATCCCCTATACCTCATCAGCTCCGGTCACCGACCCCTCGTCAATGTTGAACTTCATGAACTTGTCGTTAATCTCCTCGTCGGTGTAGCCGCGGCTGGAAATTTATAGGAATTGCCAGTCAAGCTACTAAGCTAAAACTACAAGCTCCAATCCATACCGTGTCAACTCGTGGCGCCACTTGGCGTAGTCACTCTGCGGCTCGGCGTCGCCCGACTTTGTCAAGTGCAAGAAGCGGAGCACGCGGTAGAATCCCTAGAAGATGGTGGGATAAGTTTTCGAGGGGCTACAAACTACAACTTCAAGCGAAGAATTATACGCTACAAACCCCACCGTCTTGACAAACTCGGCAATCTCGTACTCGCTCTTCTGCTTCTCCAGCTCCTGTTTCACCTCGACGTACGTGTCGTTGATGATGGCCAGGAACATGTTCTGAATTTTATGGGTTGCAAGGTTCCTTGAAATTGCCTACGAGCAGGACGAAGAAGACGAAGAAGACGTAGGTGATGAAGAAGGTTGGACCGAGCACGCGGTTTGCGTTTTCCAGGGCGTGGAAATCTGGGAATTGACGTTTCCCTCTCTATGGCTCTCTCTCGCTCTCTCTCTCTCTCTCTCTCTCTCTCTCTCTCTCTCTCCTTCTCACCCACCAAAATCCCCGAGAATCGTACGCAGCAGTGCAAATACGGCCGAGTAGAACGTCGAGTAGTCTTGGATCTGACAATCACCATTTTCCGTAAGTCTAGGCCTGGGCTTGGGCTTAGGCTTAGGCTTAGGCTTAGGCTTAGGCTTAGGCTTGGGCTTAGGCTTAGGCTTAGGCTTAGGCTTGGGCTTAAGCTTAGGCTTAGGCTTAGGCTTAGGCTTAGGCTTAGGCTTAGGCTTAGCCTTGGGCCTGGACGTGGCAACATTTCAAGCTTCCGTAAGTTACCTCCAAAACTTTAAGTGCTGATTTTTCTTTGCCTAACCTGTGTTCCGAAGCAAAGGTATCCGAACTGAGCGTAGGCGAAGAAGAAGATGAAGAACATCACGGCGAAACCGCCAATGTCTAGAAAGAAGTACAGTAAAACGATGGCAGATGGCAGATGGGCAAATATCAAATTAGGCAGATGGTGTTCTACAGTACCCTTGGCGGATCGGGAGAGAGTGGCGGACAGCTGGGACATTGTCTTGTTGAAGCTGATGTATTTGAAGATCTGAAAGGGGCGCTGGATTTGATGGCGTAATCGTTTAAGCCTGTTACACTCCCTTTAAAAGCCAGAGAGTGCGAGATAGAGAGAAAGAATGCGCGAGAGTGAGAGAGAGATACTTCATCTTCAAGACGTTCACCTGTTACCTCCAACTTTTTGCAACCATTTCAATGGCCGTATCCTTTACTCCATGTCATACCTTCATCCACGAAAAGAACAACAACACGGCCAAGAAGTTCGAATAGTTATTGTTGGCCGTCACCGCGTCGTCCATACTTGCTACGTTGAGATCATCTGAACATCTCCCTAGCACTCCAGCCCACTTAACGTACCATTCACCAGAATATTGACTCGGTTCTCAAACACACGAATCCGGTTCAACGACAGCACGATGGTCACGATTGAGAGCTGAAAATCTACGTCGACTGCCGATTTTGCACCCCACCAAGATGACGAGCACGTCGATAATGTTCCAAAAGCTCTCAAAGTACCGTAGTCGCCACTTCATGATCTCGAGCAACTCCTCGAAGACGAGGAACAGGGTGAAGGCGGTGAACACGCCTTCGCAAACCAGCACAAAATAGTCAAAGGTCGTGACGTAGCGGATGAGCTGCAACGTCTCGAAGTTGGCGGTCGGGATGACGCCACCGGTGGAGGGGAGTTCGAAGAGGAGGCTGAATGGTGTGGCTTAGGCAGGGGCTTAGGCTTAGGCTTAGGCTTAGGCTTAGGCTTAGGCTTAGGCTTAGGCTTAGGCTTAGGCTTCGGCTTAGGCCTGGGCTTAGGTAGGCTTAGGCTTAGGCTTAGGCTTAGGGGTAAGCTTCCTAGTAACGCACCGACACACACAAAACAGGTTGATGTTGGCGTTGTAGAGGGAGAAATCAACGAGAACGGCCCGCGTGCCGCGCTCGATCCAACGGTTGTACAGCAGCTTCTCGATCACCTCCAGAGCTCCCTAAATTATATTTGTTGTATCTCTCTCTCTCTCTCTCGCTCTCTCTCTCTTCTCTCACCGATTTATTGCTCATCGGCAGCAATGCCACAAAACCTCCACCCCCATAGGTCCCCATTTGGCCGTAGATAGTCCCTGTCGATAGCTCCTCCTCGGACTGCCATTTGAACCTGAAGACGCACCAATAGACGGTATGCAAATCCCTACGCAGAATAGTCAGAGTCCGTGAAATCTGTACTGTTTGAGATATCAATGTCGCTGCGGTCTTCGCGATCCTCACTAAAAAATTGTATCACTGCCGTAAGGAGATAGATAGTGAGTGAGAGAGAGAGAGTGAGAGAGATAGTCGTAAACCTACGTATATGAAGCAAAACATTCCTTGATCTCACGCGAAAATGGGTCCACGACCGTACACGAGTCGTTCGTCACCTGGTACGTGACTTTTCATGGTAACTGGCAGGGATTCTTGCGGAACGTAACTTCTTGCCGGTTAGCAACGATTCTCGGGAAATTAGGAGGTAAGACGGGCTAGCAAAGTTTTTGAAGAAAGCAGCGCTTGGCAGGCAAGCTAGCAAAGTTTTTTGAGGAATTCAGCGGTTTGGAGGCAGGCTAGCAGGGAATTTTTGAGGAAATCAACGGTTGGGAGGCAGGCTAGCAGGGAATTTTGAGGAAATCGTGTTTGGGCAGACTAGGGCAGAAGTTCTGCCCATCAAAAAAGTATTATACCTTTAACATCCGAATCCTCGGCATCCCCAGCAGCTTATTCTCATAGTAGACCATCGCATTTTCCGTGTCATTCTGCGATACCCCGGCCCCGGCACATAACAGCCTTTCGTTGCCCTCGGCGTCGGTGACCGTCTCGCAGTCGTTGGTCATGTACAGCCCTTCTACCAGTTGATCGTTCATGTACTAGAAATATTTATCTTTCTCTTTTTCTCTCTCTCTATGTCTCTCTCTGCCTCTCTGTCACTGTCTCTTTGTCTCTCTCTCTCTCTCTGTCTCTTTGTCTATCTCTCTCTCTCTCTCTCTCTCTCTCTCTCTACCCACATTCCAAACATCATCCATCGTCGAAACATCCGAAAAAGTGTATCCATTCTCATCCTGACTATTCACAAACAGCGCCTGCATCGCCGACGTGAAATAGTACGTATTTGATGACGTCGAAGCAAACGCGACTGAAATCTGACACCTCCCTTCTCAGTCCCTTTAAAACGCACTGATGCAGAGGATGACCAAGAAGAGCAAGAAGACGACTATCTCGCGAATCGTCATATTCACTCCCTTCCCACGACGCGAATCGATGGCTCCTGGATACGGTATAGGGGGAGAGTACGGTAGATTACCCTGCACTCCGCCAAGAAATTTCCCGACGGCACCCTTGGCCCCCTTCGGGTTGTTTGTGTTCTTGCCGGAGAACTTGCCGGAGTAGTCGCCTTCGAATTCCTGGAAAAGGCTTAGGCTTGGGGCTAAGCTTGGGCTTAGGTTTAGGCTTAGGCTTTGGCTTTGGCCTAGCTTAGGCTTAGCTTAGGCCCATGCTTACGCTTAGTTTAGGTTAGACTTAGGCCTAGACTAAGACTTAGGCTTAGGCGTGGGCTTAGGCTTAGGCTTGGGCTAGGGCTTAGTCTTGTGTCCAAATAATGTTCCGGAAACGGGCGCTGACAGTCCTATGCTCCGAATCCAAAAAACGCACCTCAGACTCCATATGCCCGGTCGGATGTGGGGTATCGGTGACGGACGGCGGCCGCTCAAAGCCCGCCAACGCCGAATCGCCATAGAGCGTCGGCCGACGGTTCCGAGGACCCGTCATTTGGAGCAGGGTGTAGCTTAAAACTAAGATAACCAGAAACCTTCAAAAGTAAAAACTACTGTAGCCTGCCAAAAACCTCTACAATTATCATAAGAAATCATAAAGATTACTGCAAAAAATCACACAAATTACCGTAGCGCTACAAGAGAGAAAAATACAGAAGACCACCGTAGCCTTGAAAAAATTACAGTGGTAATATCCCAAAAGAGATTAGAAACTACTATTGTACTCCCGTAACTATCAAAAATTCATAAAACTACAGTAATTCTCAAAACTATAATAATTATAAAAATTCCCAAAAAATAACAAAAACTACCATAACCCGAAAAATCCAATATCCGGAAACCAAAAGGAAATGCGAAATTCTGCGGAATTTGGGCGCCGAATGGAATCCTAGTCCGAATCCAGGCAACCCGATCGGGGTCCCGGGTTACGATCGGATCGCTAGGGGCAACTTCCCCCCTGTCTAATATCTCTTCCATTTTTTTCTAGAAGAAATCTAGGTGGAAAAAAAGAGGCGTTTTAAAGGGGCCAGCCACAAAGCCGATTTTTTTGTCTTTCCAGACCCTTTAGATGCATTTTCATTTTTTGCCGCCTGGTTGCCTATTTCTAATTGTTTTTAGTTTTCCCGGTTTTTCGAGTTTCGCAGCTTTCATTTATTTTCAGGAATTGACCTCTCGAAGTCGGGCCCTGAACTTTGGGGCGGTGGACAGGTCTGTCATATGGTTCTTGTTAGCCACCAGACGGCCTGAACGACTTGCACATGTCGGTGGCTTGTTTTCGACATTTTAGGTTTTCGTTGTCTGTCTGTTTGTCTGTCTGTTTCTCTCTCTTTCTCTTTTCTCCTTCTCTCTCTCTCTCTCTCTCTCTCTCTCTCTCTCTCTCGTGTCCTTTATACTTTCCAGCTTCGGTCTCTAAGACGTTTATTGCGGTGTCGAACGATAGGTCGCCTCAAAAAGAGCAGAGAGAGAGAGAGAGAGAGAGAGAGAGCGAGAGAAAGAGGGGGAGACATGTAATTCATCTCCTTAATCCATCGTATACAATCCAACGACTTCAAGATGTTCAGAAGATACTTGTAGATGTTCAGCATCCCGTCGAAGGTTTCCCATTAGTTCACCAATACATTTCGGCTTGAAATTGTCGAGTAGAGATTTGAGGGGGCCCACCCCGGCCAGGCGGATGTCACCTTGGAAATACATTTCGGCGTTGATGGCACCTGTAAATAGTAGCGTGACGTAAAGCGAGAGAGAGAGAGGGGGGGGGGGGAGTGGGAGAGGGGTTACAAGCAGAACCCACCATCCCCTTTAGCGCTCAACACATATCCGGCTAAATATTGCCAGGTCCTGGTATGCCCAGCCAACGGGGCTACAGTATCCCCGACATCCACAGACCGAGCCCCAACAGCTACTGTAGCTCCACGACGCTCCACCGAACACACGTCAACCGAATCCCGGGGGCCCAGTGGCCATTTCTTCCTGGTAATGTGGTGCACTAGTTTTAGATACGGGGAGATGTCGACGACTACGGGGGCTTCCTAAAAGCGTGCTCTTCATAGTATTATTGTTTTTCAGAAACATACCGCTAAAAGCGTGTCCCATTGAGTGCGATAAGGCAGCCAGGGCAACACGAGAGCCACTGCTTTCTCGAGGGTGACTCCCTAAAACGGAGGCTTAGGCCTAGGCTTAGGCTTAGACTTAGGGTTAGGTCTAGGCCTAGATTAGGTTGAAGTTAGGCTTAGGTTTATGTTAAACTTAGAGTTTTCCTTAGCCAAAAAAACCTCACCTCCAACACCGTAGCCGCCTTGACGACGTCTTCCGGGCAATCGGCGTGTCGACTTTTTTACGAATTGACACCCGGACACTGGGGGTGGAGAACAGAGAAGATGGGGAAAAATCTTCGGAGTGTTCGTGCTGCTCCCAGATATCGGCCATCAGTTCTCGGCCCGTTTTCGCCAGGGTCAGTACATCGACGGCCATTTTCTAGGTTTGTCTGGATTAAACAGGGTGGTGACAGCGAGTTTCGACAGCAAGGATAGGGAGAAAGGCTCAAAGAAGCGGCAAGGCAATCATGTTAATAGGCTTAGGCTAAGGCTTAGGCTTAGGCTCAGTGTTCAGGAAAGTTATGGTTGGGTGAGAGTCGGAGGTCCCAAAAAAATGTTGTTTTTGGAAAAATTCCGGAGGTCCCCCGAAAAAACGGTGTTTTGAGGGGCGAAATCGCGTTTTTTTTAGTAACCGGTTTCCAGCCATAACTTTGCCATTCGGTTTTCCGGAAGAACCGGAAGTGTGGCAGGGCCGGAAAGGATCTCAAAATGTAGAACGGGAAGTAAGCTATCGAATGATGGGTCGGCGGTGGCGATAGGTGGCCAGAGAAAATATTTGGAGGGAAAAAGGTGTCGAAAAAACACGGGAAAAATGGAGGCCAACCATAACTTTTTGAAAGTTTTTCCGGTTTTGCGGCCCAAAAAACCGGAGATGGAGGGAAGTGATGTATAGCCGAAAGGAAGGGTAGGATTAGGGCTACAGAATGGCGAAAAGAATGGGGCGAGAGAAGCCCGGGGCTTGGAGAGACAGGGCACCGAAGAGAGCACCTACCGCGACGGCAGAAGTTGCGGATGGGTTGTGGCGGCAGTTTGGAGGTCCCGGAAGTAACTGAAAGAAGAGGGTCATGGCAAGGTGCAATACACCATTCAACGCAGAATTCGATGCCGCATCTTTTGGTAATATATTGTCTGCCAGGAAAATGGGTCTAAAAAAGTTATGGGGGAAATAGTGGAAAAATAGCGGTTTTTCAACACGGAGGTCCCAGGATCTCGAAAACTAGCCGATTGACCAACCTCCTTTTTTGCGGTTTCTAATAGAGAAAGATAAGACGAACATTTTTCTAATACATTGCATCTAGTGATAATTAGGGTTTTGGGGAGGAAAACTCGAAAAACCCGAAAAACTTCGACTTTTTTGAGGAAAAGGCATCCTAGCTCAAAAACTAGCCCGTTGACCAACCTCCATTTTTGCAGTTTCTAATAGAGAAAAACAAGACGAACGTTTTTCTGATACATTGCGTCAAGTGATGAGTTGTGTTTTGAGTTGAAAAACCCTAAAAACTAGGAAAAATGCATCATTTTGGGGAGACGGCACCTTTTTACTCTCATCCTCTCTCTCTCTCTCTCTCTCTCTCTCTCTCTCTCTCTCTCTCTCTTTCTCTTTCTCTTTCTCTTTCTCTTTCTCTTTCTCTTTCTCGCTCTCTCTCTATCACTCTCTCGATGACTCTCTTTCTCCCTCCTGATCTCTCACTCTACCTTGCTCTCTCTGTCTCGGTCTCTTCCTCTCTCTCTTTCTCTGCGCCTCCCCGTCGATTTTCGATTTCTGCGCCTTTCCACCTCTGTCTCCCACTTGCCATTTAGGCTTGCATTTGCTATCTTTTGTCCATTTCACATAGAAAACTTTATTCCTTTATTCAAGCCTCAATAGGTTATTCTTTTATCAAGCATCAATAGGTTTATCCTTGTCGTCGTCTCGTCGGTTCTTCCCGCGCTTGGTCGTCGCATCCCATCGTGCCTCACCTGCAAAAAATATTTTTTTTTTCCGCCATAATACAGCCAAAAATTTTCGGCCCTTCGGGCCGAATTCCGGCGGTCCTTTCACCTATCCCGAGGTCCCGGAGGTCCCAGTTACGTAACTTCGACCACTTTCCGAACACTGCTTAGGCTCAGGCTTAGGGGTGGTTAGGCTTAGGTTCGACTTAAGCCTAGGCTTAGGCTTAAACCTAGGATTCGACTTAGGGTTAGGTTCAGGCTTAGGCTTAAGCCTAGGCTTAGGCTTAGGTTCGACTTAGGCTGAGGCTTAGGCTTAAGCCTAGGATTCGACTTAGGGTTAGGCTGAGGCTTAGGCTTAAGCCTAGGATTCGACTTAGGTTTAGGCTGAGGCTTAGGCTTAAGCCTAGGATTCGACTTAGGGTTAGGCTGAGGCTTAGGCTTAAGCCTAGGATTCGACTTAGGGTTAGGCTCAGGCTTAGGCTTTGCCTACCATACTTATCTCAAAGACAGAAATTATATGTGTAAATGGTTTGGAATGGCGTTAGCTAGGGGGCTACGTGCCGTATTTGAGGGCCGGAGGATCGACCTTCAAAAACGTATAAACAAGTTTTGAGCGTGGTAAGGGTTACGTGTGGAGGCAAAGGACAGCGCGACACACAAAAAGACCGATAGACAGACGGACAGACAGACACAAACCGAGAGATCCATATCTCGATCTACCTATGCACTTACAGGGCCATTTGCCCATCATCGCCTATGCCCCGGACAACAACTGACCCAAGGGTGTGTCGATATTTACATGCGTTTTTCGAGTTTTCCTTTCAATTTTAATCCTGTAGATGTGCTGGATCGGCTGAACAGTTTGACGACGCCGTTGTGTATGCGTTGGATTACATGTGCGCAACGTTTCTCTCTCGTTTTCACTCCCTCGCTCTTCCTGCCGCTCTCTCTCGCTCGCGCTCTTTCACTCTCTCGTGCGCTATCACTTGCCCACTCTCTATCACTCTCTCTCCCTCTCACTCTATCACTCTCACCCTCTCTCGCTCACTCACTGTCGCTCTGTCTCTCTATCTCTCGCTCTCTCTGCCATATTAAAGAAGTATTAGTATTGGTATTAATGGCTTGTCGGTTTTTCCTTTCCTAAATCAACCACATTTCCTAGCACCATCCGAAGACTCACCATCCCAGGACGTCAAGCCACTATTTATTTTGCCTTCCAGGTCTCGGAAATATTGTCTCAATCACGGGCCACCCATTCTAAACGATGCCCTTTCACCGTAATGACTCATTATTTGGGGCGTAAAGCTTCGGGTGATTCACCCGTTCCGAGCGGTCGCCCCTGAAATTGGAGAAAAAGTGGAAAACAGCTCGATCATCGTCTCGATCAGTTCCGCCCTCAATCGATCAAATGGCCCCTTGAAGGAGGGAGAGAGAGAGAGAGAGAGAGAGAGAGAGAGAGAGAGAGAGAGAGAGAGAGAGAGGAAGAGAGATGTGGTGAGAAAAGCCCCTCCTCCTCCCCCCATCAAAAAGCAAGCACATCTGTGGGACACGGGGGGTATATATGTGTGTTGAGAGTATCCCTTCCCCCTCAGTCCCCTCCCTAAAATGCGCTCCCTCCTGTTCTCGCTGGGGCTTTTTGTCGTCGCCACCCAGGTCTGTTTGACTTTTAGATGATCTGAGTACACTTTGCGTCTCTTTACGGATGGGTTATTGTGTAAAAAAGGGTTCCCCGGGGTATTTGAGGATTTTTGTGTCTGCTCACTCTCGTTTTTCCGTGCTTCCTCGCCCGTAGGGCCAAGTTTTACCTAGAAAATTAGTTACGGTTCCGAAATTGACTTATAGGCTCAAGATTATTTAGCTTAGGCTTAGGCTTAAGCTTCGGTTTATCCCTTGATAACACCACGAAAAGCGATACCCCAAAATTTCATAGACATGGACATAAACGCACTTTTTATCATTTCAGGCAGCCTCCCGCCGTGATACGGCCGTCGCGTCGGGTGTTGACGCGTACAAGGACAACTGCAAGCCAAAGGTGACAATTTTTATCTAAAAAATTGAAGTAATTAAAGTAAAATTAACTAAATTAGAATTGATTAAATTAAATGGCCAGTGACAGCAAAATAAAGGCCGGTTGGTTGTTCCGCGTATCAATAATGCGTCGGTGGGGGCTGGAAAGCACAGGGAGAGTGCAGTTACCCGCCCCACCTCGCCGCTGGCGCCAGCTCTTGTATCTTCCCTCGGCGTTCGTCTACAGTGCTGTAAACAACATCAAAATGTTCGTCTTTCCCTGGCGAGCATTTTCGTATACTTTACATCCCTGTAGCACAACGGGGAGCCAAGATACAATGGCGTAGGCGGCTAGGGCGGGGGGTGTTAAACTGCACTCAAGCCGATGCCTTACACGTCCCTTTAAAAAAAATCCCTTACCGATTTTTGTAAAAAAAGGCTTTCACCCCCAAAATCTTTCAGGCTACGGGCGGCTGCGCGTGCGAGGTGAAATGGGGCGACGAAGTGGAGACGCGCAACTTTTACACCGACTCCGAGTGCAAAAAGTCGGTTGAGCGTGAGTTCCAATGAAACATTAAATTTAGATAAAATTAGGTTTATTTTAGTTGTGAAAACTTGAATTCCTATTTTTATAGAACAAACGGTCGAGCACAAGTCGGCGCTGAACAAGGAGATCCAGCAGAAATTCGGCGGGTTCAAGGACAACTGCTTCCCCAGGGTATTTATTTGCAAAAGTTTGTAGTTTGTAGTTTTTAATACTATCATTTATACTACCCATTATTCCCTTTAAAACCCACAAAAACCATCATCTTCTAGCCGTCCGGCGGCTGCAAATGCCAGGTGAACCTGGGCCGTACCGGTGAGGAGCCGACATGGGCCGAGTTCAACACCGACGCCGAATGCAAGAAGAGCGCCGAGGGTACGGTAATTTGGGCGTCATTTAGGCAACAAAATGCTAAACTTTTAGCGGTAAAAAATATATCCCCAATTTCTTTTTTTAGTCCAAACCGCCGAGCACAAGAAGGAGCTGAACCAGGAGATCAAGGAGAAGTACGGCGACTTCAAGGAGAACTGCTTCCCCAAGGTAGGCTAGCAGAGTCTGTTGGGGAATTTGAGAAGATTCGATTCTTGGAAATTTTCTTTCAATTCGATTTCTAGCCGTCCGGCGGATGCAAGTGCAACGAAAAAGACGCTAGCGGCGCCGAGGTGGTCGCCACGTACAGCGCCGACGCGCAATGCAAGGAGTTGGTCCCGGTAAGCGTTGAATACATTTATCATTATTTACGACTTTCACCACATCAAAAAGGATTTTAATACCTTTGAATATAACCGTTTCAGCACAACAAGCAAAAGCGTGAGGCGCCGCGCACGCAGACGCAGCCCCAGTTCAACATCAACGCCCGCCAGCAGAACGCCAAGGTCAAGCAATTGTGGTTGATGTTGGATTTAGATAAATTCCGTATTTCGCGCTTTTTTAACGCCATTGGCTAAATTATTAGATTCCCGATTTTTGAGCTCCAAGGAAATTTGGTTTTCGAAAAGATAGCTGAACTGATGATTTATAACATTAAAAACAATTCCAGGACATCGAGGAGCCGTCGCAAAACGTGCGCGACCCGGTGCGCGAGCGTGCCCAGGCCAACTACCGGGCCGTCGTCAACGAGCTGAACGAGAAGTTCAAGGGGCTGCGCGAGGGCTGCTTCCCCAGGCCGAAAGGTAGCTTCGAACCCTCGGCTTTTAGGCCAAGCTATAATGCACCACTTTCAAGGAAAAAAAATCTTTTACAGGCTGCCTCTGCGTCACCGGCAAGGACTCGAACGGCCGCGAAATCACGAAGCGCTTCATGAAGGACCAGGAGTGCAAATGCACCGCTGGATCGGCCGGATGCCCCGTCTAAATCAGACCCTGAATTCGATGAAATGCCGCATGTGCCACCCTTTCCTATTTACTGCTTGATCTCTGGCCAAAATTTCCGAGAAAAACACACACAACGTGAACAAAATCAATGCATAAATGAACAACTTTATTTCTGTACCTTTTGTGCCATATAAAGCGGTTTGTATGTGCAGCAGCGAAAGTGAAAGAAAAGTGGGGGGAAGAGCCCAAAAAAAAGACAATCACCGTTATGTCGTGACCGGGATGGGTGGGAAGATGGAAATATAACAAAAAAAGTGTCTAGAAGCAAACGGTGTGGGTGGAATGGCGAACGTGCAGCTCCTTGGCTATCATCTCGGCGGTAATCGGGTGCATCTCGCTGCGCGTGCGCAGGTACGTCTCCTTGGCGCGCTTTTGGGCGACCGGCCACGCGTAGAGGGCCCTGGAATTAAAGGCGATGGTAAGTTAAAATTCTGGTCTTTTGGAACCCGACCGATTTTCAAAAAAAAAACCAAGGCTACCTACACGTATCAGAAAATTTGTTTCGCTAGAAAAAGCTAAAGCATTTGGCCATTTTCCAGAAATCAAAGCTTAGGGGATGGACAAGACTTTTTAGCCCCTTTAACGAGAATATACTATACTTTGTCCTTTTTATCGTCGCCGACAAATCGTCATCCGATCATTGACCCCGAAAATAATCGCCGCCTCACATAGTTTACAAAGCGGCCGCGTCTCTGTTTACGCGTTGGCTAAAAGTGGTGGTGACGGCCCGGTGGAATCGCACACACCCCCAACAACGCAAAAATAAATGAGATGACCCGAGGGTCTCCTAGCCTCGCCTAGCCTGTAAGAAATACCTGTAGACGGGGCGGCAGTACTTCAGACGGCCCTGCGACTCGACGAACCAGATGGCCTTGTCGATGATCTTCTCCCATTTGGCCTTGATGCACACGCGAATCCAGCTAAAATTCCAAAGATTAGAAAATTCCGTTCAGAAATTACTTCAAGACGATCTCGCAATTCTGGCTGTCGTTGAGCTTGTAGAGGGCGTCGAGTGCTTCAAGCTTGTAGTGCTCCAATGGCGGGTCATGCTGGAAACGGCGGGTTTTCAGCGGATAACAATATTCACTACCTGCCACAGCTGGCTGAGGAATTCGATTTGTTGAAGGGGCTGCATTTTTTGGTAGCGCTCAGCGGTGATAGTCTAGAGAAAGGATAACATATTCAGTACATATATACCTTAACGGCAGCCTCATCGGCCTCAATCCACTGCTTGAAAAGAGCCTCGCAGTCGTGTAGCATCTCCTCGTCATAGACGGGCTTCTCCGGCGGCATGCCGACGGCGAAGAACCACTGGTCAAAGTTGACCGTGTCGAGGATATCTTTCTTGTCCTAAATGAATTATTCCATTTTTTTTTTAAACTAGCTTACATGGAAATACTTGTAGAGGTGGTCCTTCCACTGGAATGAGTCGATGGCTTTGTGGGCGAACGTTGAGAGGTAGTCGCGAAGGTACGGTTCGAAGACGTCTTAAAGAAAGCAATAATGCAGGGAGAGGGCCTAGTTTTTCTATTAATTATTATTGTTCTATTATTGTTTTTGCATTAGTTCATGGTCTTTTTAGTTGTGTAATTATATCTGAAGTGGAAAAACTAATGTGAAAATTCTGAAAACTGTAAAAATAAGAAATTATGGCCAAAAATCGTGCTTTTTCGTGCTTTCGGAAAATCTCGATTTTTATATTTGTAACAGAATTCTTGTAGCATTTTGAGCACGAATAGCAAAAATTCCTCTTTTAAACCAAGGCATACCCGGTCCTCCCAATTTCTGTTCAAGATAGAAGAGCAACGCTGATCCCTTCTCATACGGCACACACGAAAAGGCGACGTCCGGATCGACATTCTCGTGGTCTTGGATAAGCCGCGTGAACTGGTGCGTCGGGTTGAACTGCTCGTAGACCTAGACAACCAATTCCGGAAAACCACTGGCAATCTCACCGCCGGGATCAAGTTGTTCGTCCATCCGTTGAACGACATGAATTGCCTGTACTTCTCGTTGACCAGCCGACCGCAAATCTTGCGCTCAATGAACATAGTGAAGCCCTCGTTCAGCCTAAACACCGGTAAGAACTTAAGACGGTAAAGAACTGCGTTACCAAAAGTGTTCCCAGCTCTTGTTCGTCACCAAGTTGCCGCTCCAGGAGTGGGCGATTTCGTGTGCGATCACGGAGACGAGCGAACGATCTCCAGACTAAAACAAAAATATGTAAATTCTCAGCTCCAGATGCTCACAATCAGCGTCGGCGTCAAGAAGGTCAAGCACGGGTTCTCCATGCCACCGAACGGGAAAGTGGGCGGCAGGCAGACCATATCGTAGCGACCCCAGATGTATTTGCCGGCAATTTTTTCGGCGGTGGCCAGAATGTCCTCGGTCTATATGAGTGTTGTGGAAACCAAAATCGTACAAACCTCGTTGAACTCCCAGTGGGCCTTCTCGACCATCGACGGCTCGGCCCAGACGGCGCAGCGGTCGGAGATGTCGCGTTTGGCCAGCACTCCTAAAAAACAATATCTTTGACAAATACGGTAGCTCCTCACCAACAACAATAGCTAGAAGATAGGACGGGATGGCGACGGGTTGCTTGAAGAAGAAGGTCGTCTCCTCGTCGGTTCCCTTCGATCCCTCGTTGATCGCCGACATCAAGCAGGTCGAGCCGGCTGGGACGGTAACTTGTGCGTCGTAAGTGGACTTGATGGAGGGAGTGTCCATGCAGGGCATAATCGAGCGCGCGTGGATGGCCTGGCATTGCGAGAAGAGGTAGGGAGCTTTCTAAAACTGAATAAAGATCAACTTTATTCTAGAACCTTGTCCTGTGTCTGCTCCTTCTTCATCCATTGCAGGGCAGAAGCATCCGGGGATGTCGAATAGTCGATAACGATTTCCCTAAAAAAGCAAAAGTCCATACTTTTTCACTACAAAAAAAGTCCAAGTTTTGGCACCACACCCCAGGGGCCAACAATTGACGATGCAGCAACACGCTAACCCAAGGACATCCCGGTGCCAGGCACTTTGAACAGGATCTATCCCAATTTCAACGAAATCTGATACATGCCGGTTAAGGCTAGCCGGCTAGGCGGATTAGGTGGTTGTGCCGGCGGCCGCCCACGTGAGCCCCCAAAATACAGTCACAAAAGATAAGGGCTTTTTGGCAGTTTGACCGGCCGCTGCGGGCAAGGTCAATGTTCCGCGCGTGTACTTGGAAACGTTCGTACGTGCGACTGCTTCTGAGTCTTTTAAAAGAAATAAAAAACTCACAATTCCTGGCCCTCGCGCTGGCAGTCGACCGGGAGGTAGATCTTCATACGTGAGCCGAAGAAGGTGTAGACGTTGGGGGCGATGCGGAAGTCGGCATTTTTTCCGCAGACAGTCACCGAACGGATGGACAGATCGCGAACGTCAAGCCACTAAAAATGAATTTTTGCAAAAATTTCTAGCTGTCCGATCAAGCAAAAATAAAAGGAGGCGCTTCATATATAGCGGAAGTATTCATAAACTTTTTTTACTATTCCTAAGTCTGAAAATCCTTAAAAACCAAAATAAATATTTTTCTCAACAAAATGACCAATTTTGCCCAAAATTTCATTTTTTTGGATAGTTTTTACTTGCAACATAGCTAAATTTTACCAAAAATTGTATTAAAATGCTTAGTATTAGGTTAATAGGAATTTTTTGACTATATTACAAATTTGGTTCCCTTCCGCTGATTTTAAAGAACCTAGGCAACAAAACTCACGACATGCTGAGTTGTCTTGAGAACCTTGGCCGTCAGCGTCACACTTCCGATCAGCATCTTCAACGGAAAATGGACCTAAAATAAAATAAACGAAATTCAAACACCCTCTCACATGCCAGCGCAGAGCATAGTGCGAAACCTGGACCTCGTCGCCGTTGGCGCACGAGCACGGGTCCTAAAATTGGAGAATTTACGAAAAAACAACCCTAACAACCTTGCGTGCAAAACGATGATGTGCCCGGCACATGGCGTACTCGTCAGACGGATCCTAAATCGGGTACCGTGTGAATGTCTGAAGTGTGAAGATGCCCCCTGCCCCGTTATCAGCGTAACCATTTGCTGCTCCGGGGCGGGATCAGACCCGCCAAAGCCCACGCCTACCGCCTTCACTCATCGGGCTAGGAATTTGAACCCTCTTAGCGGGCCCCCCGAGGATAGAAGTCCAAAGATGCAACATAACATTCCAAAGGCGGACTGACATTTAAGAATTTGAAAAACGTTTGAAATTTCACCGAAAAATCAAGAATTTGCATTTTTTAACAGCAATTTATGAAATTCTCAGGTTGAGGAATAGTCAAAAACTGTGTATAAACCGTTCGTCTACTTATCTTAGAAAATTCGATCGAACGGAACCTTCTCCCCCGATAATTCACAAGAACCACTTTGAAAGGCAAACCTCTTTGGGGGGAGCCGGAGAAGTCGACATAGCGGCACTGGTGCTGAATGTCCTGGAAAAGCGAATTTGGGGTTTTCAAGAATGGGGTGGCACGAAGGAGGCACGATCTAACTCTTTGTTCAAAACGATTTTTGGCAATATAATAAACACAAAAATGACCATTTTGGGTCATCCGTTGTCAGCATTACGACATGAAAAGAGAACAATGTCGGACTCGCGCACTATCGTTTTGTAAGTAGTGCTGTTGAGTACTCGTATTACGGTAAGTCCCGAAAAATGTTCATATTTTAGCAATTAACAAACGGTAGCATTTGCAAAGCAACTTAAAAATAGTAAACTTTATGTTAAACTATGTCGTGATTCGCTTCATCGTGATTAGTAATGTAAGGTAGAGATGCTACTTTAGAGGCAAAATCCGTTATTTTAAAGCCCCTCTACTTATAGCTACGTGCATCATTAAAATGTTATTTACGTTTTTGTAGCGTACTCAGTTTAGAATGCACTGTTGTGGCTCGTTTTATTTCTCATAGGGGAAACCCGCTTTTTTCCCCTCGTTTTAATAAGATTTTTGGTATTCACGCCAATTCCTGGAAATATACCATCATACACGATGCGTCGCTCTATTAGATGCGTTGCCCTTCTTCGCCTTGCCGACGCCGCTACACGGAGGTTAAGCTCCTTTTGTGCCGCCTAGCGATAACGGGATCCCGTGCGCGCCACAGCCCATCAGAACGACGTCACGCCATTTCGAGGAGAGTGATACTTTATGCCCGCATAATGCCTAAAAATGACTCGTCCCCGCGGCGCCATTACAGAATTTCGTCAGCTTGACTGATGGGGGCGGCGGGGGTTGTTGATAGGAGTTTGCCCTTGTGCTGTGTCCCAACTGGCCTTGGATTTCGCGGAATTGGCGGTGTTGTGATGGACGGCATTTTTTCCAGATTTCTGGCTGCGTGTGATAAGATGCAACAACTCCAGATACCCGACAAATATTTTTCCAGACGCCAGGCGTTTCCAGCGCGGTTTCACCGAAAAGTGTTCTAATCGGGTGGTGGTGGCAGTAAACTAGCTCCAACTCGGCCTCCAGCGTTCTGCCCCGTCACAAGCCGACGGCCCCGAAATCTGTTGGCCGTCACTCAACGCCCAAAAAAGAGTCTTTTATGCTGATAACCCGGGCCTGAACCCCGTAAAGCCGTCCCACGTGAGACATCTCTAAGCAGAACCGCTCCCCCCACAAAAGCTGATGATTTATAAGGGGGCTGCAGACAGGCGCCAGACTGACTTTCAAATAGCGGAATTGACAGTGAGTCACAAGCGATTGAATTTGCTGAATAGAAAGTTTGTAGACTTTTATATATTCATGAAAACACTACCAGATCTATTCAGGTTAATCACAGAAATCGGGGAAAGCTATATACAACGAATCCCGAATTAAATAACTTTACAGCGCTATAAATAATGGCTCTAATACCTGGAAAATGTTCTTTCGATCTTCTTGTCGACGGCCGTGCGGATGCTGTAAAGGTATTGAAGGCGGATGACGGTACGCTTGGAGGCCTTCCAATCCTTTGCCGTCAGCTGTCCGTCCAACGTCTTCATCGCCGTCGCTATCTGAAGCGTGTCAGCTTGGATTCGAAATGAAACAGTATAAGCAAATGACGAGCTATCAATCCCGCTATCATGAAGGCTTCATCACATACCTCCTTCTTGACATTACTCTTCTCTTCTTGCAGCATCGACTCGTCCTCCATTTCCGCCACGCTCTCCTGCCAATCGAGCACCTCCATCAGTTCCTCAGGGGCCAGATGGGATTTTTCTACTTCTGGAACGAATTGTATTTTAGTCCAGGTATTTTACTATGCATCCATTGTGCACAATTTTCAAACGAACCTCCGATACTTTCACGTCCTTCCGTCTCCAGCAGATACTTTGCTCTTTCCAGTGGCTCGCCCAGCGTTTTCATGGCAGTATTTAACATTCGCGAGTGTTCCCCTGAGATTGATCGTTCCTGAATTCAAAGCATGATCAGTAAATCCTAACGAACTATATCCGAAGTGTGCGCAAACTTGTCAGGGTGCATCCGCATTTGTAGGTCGCGAAACCTAAGCCCAGTTTTCAAATTAAAACCTTGCATACTTTTTCTTCAGTTCATCATCATTGAGCGCAAACTTAGACTCGACTCCGATATATTCGAAGAGGTTCTTTGAGGGGATAGGTTGGATCTTTTTACATTCTCCGCAGAAGTATCCTCCAGCCAGCGGCTAAATCACCTGTAATCCAAGTCTATGAAAAGCATACTTTCGAGCAATTCCAACATTTGGCGCCGGAAGTGGAACTACATCTATGTGGTTGCCAGCCTCGACCTTTCCCTATTAACACAGCTGGCTTCCAACTTTCGAATACCAGCCTCGGTAGCCATCGCATCCCTGAGTTGAAAAATTGTGGGTGTTCTGGAAAAATTCCTTTGAGGCATAAAATTCAAGTTTCTTGCTGCTTTCAAATCTCTCGTGTGAATAATTGATCCGATACATATTTATTCCAGCTTCAAAATGAATAGAACAACAAAAAGTGGTATAACCGTGAAAATGAGATACAATTTGGGAACAATGGGGCAATAACTTATTATTTCTTGGCGTAGTTGACACGCATTTGTTGGGTGGGTGTGACCTTGAAGTTGTCGAGGGCTGCGCGGGCGCCGGAGGCTTCAGCTTCAGACTCGAACTCCACGAAAGCGATTCCCGTCCTGTTCGGCACCATGCGGATGTCACGCAGTCCGGGGAACCTGGAAAATGTTGTACTTTTTAATAAAAGAGAGACGGCTTACGGTTTGAATAGAAGTTCGAGCACATCGGCCGTCGTCTCGTCTGGCAGATTTGTGCAGAACAGGATTTTGTTCGGGGGAGCCGCAGAATCCGATTCGCCCTTCTTCGTGATCACCTTCTTGACCTTCTTGATGCGCTGGTTCTGGTACTTCTTCGGCTTCTCGACGTATGTGCCCTTTTCGCGAGCAATGATGTCGCTGTCCTCGCGCGCGAATTGGATACGCTAAAGAACAGGTGTCTCAAGATTTTCAAAAAAAAGTTACCATTGGCTTCTCGTAGAAAGGAAATCCTTGCATGGAACGGAGTGCATTAGCAGCAGATGAAACCTCCTAAACAGAAATCAAAGAGAAAAGGCAACAAATACCTTGAAGATGATGTGGGCCTGTCCTCGCATGCGAAGCGTCTTGAACGACATGATCGAAACGATCTCCCCGAATTGTGTGAAGATGGCATGGAGCGCCCTTTTCAGTTCTAAAAAGTCGTAATGAACCCGCCCAGACTCGGTTTGCGCCAGCGCTTAGCTGGAAGTGCAAACCCACGCTATTTTGAAGCATTTTTGTCGAAATCTGCGGGGCAGGGGGCTTCTTCTGAACAATAACATTATCACTCAATCGGTTCAGGTATCCCGATTGAAGCGAAAGTGCAATGCTCCAGATAGGGAAGTAAATGACGTGCGCCAGTTTGCGAAACTCGAGCAAAACCATACCGTCTTTCTTGACTTTCTCGTTGAGGTTGTTGATGTAGATGGTGTGGTTCGGCTTGATGTCGGCGGCGGCAAACGTAGCCATAATCGGCTTGACGTCCATCGGTTCGGCGGCCATAGCTTCGTCTAGCTGGAAAAGTCTATCTTCAAGGTTTTGCAAAAGAAAACGCAAAAAAAAATTGAATAAAAGGTAAAGAAGAATCGAACTCGCGTTTCTATCCAACATTGGAAAAAGAAACACAGCGGAAACAGCAAAAGAAGAGACTACGCAGGAATTCTAACGCCGGTTTCTGTTCGGAGGAATCTCTCGAAATACAAAAAAAAATAAAAAGGTTTTCATTTTGCGCCGGATTTTCTAATGTTTAGGTTTTCACACGAATCACAAGTTCTTGGGATCGATAGCCACCCGGGGCACTCGTCAAACGAGAATTCGAACAGATGATGCCAGGTTTTTTGATCCGTTTATTGTGTGAGCAAGTTTTGGAGGGTTTTTCTATATTTGGCTGTTTTCGCGTTGGCGTTGGGATCTGCGGGAGCGATTCGAGTCGCTTCGGTGCAGTGGACCCATACTTTTTGATCTAAACTCGGTGATTTTCCATGGAAAATACCTTACCTTTTATTGTCGCTTGATTGGCTGCCCCGGTAGCCAGCAACGCTGCCAGTTCTCCGGTGATCTGCCTCGGCAGTTGACCCGTGATATCGTTGTGGGGTGTAGACACGTAGGGTGTTGTAGGGACTTGCCACCAAATTCGCGGGGCTGCGTCCGTGTAGGGACAGGGTTGAGCATCCCGGGATCCTATTGGGAATTGGGTCATTGTTTGATATTCTTACACTGGCGGATACAACTTCTGCTCGTCATGCGGTTTGACGAGATTAGAATGCGCATATTTATTCGCTAGCACAGGATAGGCAGGCGGGGGGAGTGGTTGATAGGGGTCTTTTTCGAAGTAAGCTTCGGGTTCCTATAGATAAGCTTTTTTACTTTTAACGTTTCCGTTACCTTGAAGGTCGTTGTTATTGTAGTCACGCGCGACGGTTCGTTGTGTTTTCGGGTATGATGAAGATATGTTTTGAAAAGCTAAAGGTCTTTTTTTAATACCTTGGCCTAAAACTTACATCACTAGTGATTAGGCTGACACAGCAAGCTCCTATACATAGCACGGATCCGATTAGAAGTAGTATAGGCCCAACAATCTTTAGACTAAAGTTTTGACAATAATGAAATTGATTTCACCTGGATGGGAGGGGGTCTTTTCCGCATTTCAAGCTCCCACGTCCAAAATGGCGTATCGTAGACCCAGAAATAGCCGAGAAAGAGCTGAATCTCTCTTTTTAGAATAGGGGATGCGATCTTACCATCAATAGCCCACCAAAAAGAAGGAAAATTCCAAATGCGGCTAGGCATACGACGGAATGAGATCCACGGAACCTTCTGGGATCGTTTTGTTTGTTTCACTGATCTAGGTACTCACGTGGTCCGATATGGGAAAAAACCAAAAGTAGCTGGGTAGAGGACATCCCATCCTTTCGGATAATAGTAGAAATAGGGATCGCGTTGAGCCATTGGTCCAAAATGGAGCACTCTTTGGTTGCCTGTCCATTCAGTTGGATCGACTAAAGGATGTTTTAATGACTTCCTTGCGGGCCTTACCTGCTCCCGCCTGCACCATCTCATCTTTCTTATGCACATTAGTGACTTGAAGCTTATCTGAGGGGGGAATTACTTATCTTATTTGGTAGGCAAGCTTACTATGAGGCCGTCTTTTCCGCTTCTGCGTGTTTTGCGTGTGCTCCCGAGAGAAAAGAAGATGGGTTCGAACCCGTTCCGGCGGGGCCCCTCCTCCGCCTCCGCCGCGTCGCTTTCCGCCCATCTAAATATATTTCGAGTTGATCCAAAAGAAATGTGCAGAACATGCTGCCCGGCTAACTACTACCACATGTTCGGGTCAGGCATGTAATTGCATTACTGCGATCCCGGGACCCGGAAATAGATGAGATGCTTACCATTTCGCCGCTTGCAGTTATGTGTAAGGAGGCGCCAATTCGATGGGAATCCCTTGGCAGGCGAAAGGTGGCCCAGGGCAGCCGCTTTTCACAAAGCTAGTGTGTGAGAGGGTCGCCATGCTTTGTCTTGGGAGAAGAATCACAGCACACGTAGGACCCAGATGGGGGCCAACTTTCGAGACAGCTGCTTTCAAAAAGACTCGAAATGCGGGATGCATGTCGTTTGTAGCGGCACGTCTATTGCGCCATGCGCCTTGCCCGCGGAGAACTGTGCGCCAAAGGGTTATACGCTGCTGGGGGGTTGCTGGCGTGTTTCGTGTACATTTTCCAACTTCACTATCTGTTATCTTTGTGTGTGTTTTGGATTTTTCCATGCTGAATAATTTCGTTTTCCATACTCTGATCACCACTAGAATGGAGGATTTCATTTCTTTTTTTGTTCGTTTTCTCCCTTTTAACACCCCCTTTTTCTCCTTTCCCCTTTTTATTTTTTTTTTTTTTTTTCTTTTTATTTTTTTTAAAAAAATAAAAAAAAAAAAAATTTTTTTTTTTTAAAAAAAAAATTTTTTTAATTTTTTTTTTTTAAATTTTTTTTTTTCTCATCTCTTTCTCCCCCCCCTCAACGGGGGGCCCCCCCCCCCTCCGCCCCCCCCCCCTCCCCTTTCCCCAAAACCCGCGCCCCCCTCCCCCCCCCCCCCCCTTTTTTAAAAAACCCCTCATAAACCAACCCCAACAAAAAAATAAAAATACTCTAAAAAACCATTTTTTTTTTTTAAATTTTATTAAAAAATTTAAAAATTAAAAAATTTTTTTATTTTTTTTTTTTTTCCCTTTTTTTTTTTTTTTTTAAAAAAAAAAAAAAAAAAAATAAAAAAAAAAAAAAAAAAAAAAAAAAAAAAAACCCCCAAATTAAATACCCATTTCTTATTTTAGGGTACCACCGGGATGTCGTTGACGCGCCAGGCAGCTTCGGTCAAGACGGTTTGTGATTTCTGAGATTCTGATCACTTTCTTTTCAGGTGGTCGGGCGATCGACGCGCGCCATTGCCCCGCTCAGCGTCTCGCCCAGCCACCCCGCAAATGTTGTGGTATTGACTGTACTTCGTAATTTTTATTTCTGTTTAGGATTCAAAAATCGACTACAAGACGGTCGACTCCATCCAGAAGTCCGCCGAGCAGGCCACCAAGCACGGGCTCTTCGTTAGCGGTCTTCAGGTCAAGGGAGTGAATGGTACGTTTTTCTGCCTATCACAATCTGGCTCTGCGCGAAATTTTGTTGAACTTTGACCGACAAGGGTTTTGACCGGCTTCCAACGTATTTTGCTTTTTAGTAACTTCCCGCCGCCTCGCCTCCACCTACGACGTTTCGTACCCCAACTTCGACGAGTACCGCCGCAAGTCCACCCTCGACACCAAGGTCGCCTCGCGTGACACCGAGCCTGAGCGTCTTGGCATTCAGCGAGCCATTAAAGGAGGTAACGACACTTAGTTTAACTGCAATTTTTCTTTAGTTGCCTTTGGATCTTTCGGTCTGTGGGGCGCGAAGGAGGGTGTCCAGACTCTTCTTTATGCCAAGGTATTTTGAAAATTTGGCGATTCAATCTTATTTCGCGCTACAGAGTATGTCCATGGCCACCCGTGCCCTGGCCGCTATCGAGATTTCGATGAACGATATTCCGGAAGGTCGGCTGACTCGCGTTTCTTTATGACCTCCATTTTAGGAACGACGAAGACTTACGAGTGGCGTACCCGGCCCGTCTTTGTTCGGCACCGCACCAAGGCTGAGATTGCCCGTGAGAAGGTATTGCTTTCGCTCCTGTTTGTTTTTGCAACATCGCTTGCTTTAGGCTGTCAACGTTGCCGAGTTGCGCGACCCCGAGACTGACGAAGTTCGTGTGAAGCGTGACGAGTGGTCGGTTGTGATTGGCGTGTGCACCCATCTTGGATGCGCTCCGATCGGTATGCGTTTTCTCAACAACCATATTTTCCTTGCTATCGATGGAATTGCTCAAACCAAAAGAAAACTTATATGTCTCGCCCTCGTTCTCGTTTACCTTTCAGGGTAATTGAAAAAAACAGGGCCCTTCGCGTGTTAACAGGAAATACGATCTTTTTTTCGCTGCTGTAAAATTCATGACTAGGTTCTAGCAGCCATTTTCCTTCCCGACCCAATCTATCTATTTTCTATTAATCAATTTTTATAGCTGGCGCTGGTGATTTCCTCGGCTACTACTGCCCTTGCCACGGCTCTCACTACGATGCTTCTGGACGTATCAGGTATCCTCTCGTGGTCGGAAGTAAATTTTTGTTATTTTCAGGAAAGGCCCGGCTCCCCGCAACCTTGACGTGCCCCCGTACGTCTTCAAGGGTGACACGATCGTCGTCGGCGAGGAAGAGAAGAAATAGACGAACCCATCCTTTTCATGCCCTCAAGTTGTAGCCATCTTTGTTCTAGGAGAGTTTTCTATTTATCCCCTCTGCTCTAAATCTACCATTATCCGCGAAACGTGGCCCCCCGTGCTGCCGTCATTTTTTAACTAGTACCGGTTTCGTGATTGTTCGAAGAGAAAATGATTTTTATAAGATGTGGATTTGTGCAAAAAATGGCTAATGAATGGTAGATTACAAATTTCACACAATATTACCGGATTTGTACATTGTTTATGTGATCACCTATGGGTTGTTGACCATTTTAGGGAGAGTGGTGCCTGACTGGTCGATGTGGGAGCGGCAGCAGCTTCCTTGGCTTTCTCTAGCACAAGCACCTTCTTCTGGCGTAGGAAAATGATGGTTAGGAGCCTAGGTTCTGTATTCGAAGCTAAATTTCCTCCTTACCCAATATAGCAGCTAAAACAAGCCGGTATGAACATGTTGGCGATGAAGGAGACGATAGGTTGTAGAGTTAATTTGGCCGGACTAGGATTTTGTCATTGTGACTGGTTTTCACCTACGTATATTGGTGGACAAACGAAATACACAAATAGAAGAGCCCGGAGCCTTGAGTAGCCACCATCTGAAATGTCCTTAATTCTTGCGCCTCATTTCCGGACCTGTTTCGAGAGCTGCATATCGGTTCTCGTGAAGTTGCCGCCATGATTTGACTTGAAATTCGTTTGGCTCTAAAATTGGTAGCCAAATGAAGTTAAAAGCAGGACCAACTAGTCGGATTCTGAGCATCAGCAGCGTGTAAGTGTCCAAGCTGATCGCTACAATCAACAGGGCAAAGATGGTCCAATTTAGTGTTGGAATCTGATAGTGATAATGAGGCGAGCCCCGGCTTTTTACCATGGTCAGGAAAAAGTCGCCAATATTGTAGACGGCATAGGCAAGTGGGTGGAAGAAGCGGCAGTTGCCATCTAGGAAAATGACATTTTGAAAGTCTTTTTGACCTACCATAGAATGTCCCAAGCGTCATTAGTGTGACAGGGATCAGGGGTAATAGGATAAACTGGAAAGGAATTTGAAGTGTTTTTTAGCTTTACCTCTACGTAGAGAAGCCGCTTCAACCGCGTATAGTATCGGCCCATGTACGCGACGGCTGAGAAACGGTTTATGGAGAGGATTATCTGGAGTAAGACTATGATAATCAGAGATTTGGGCAGACTTCATAGAGGAACGCTGAATAGTGGACGCAGCCCTGGAAGGCGGCCAAAATCTGGCAAATCAGCCACCATGGGTCGAGCAGGCAGAAGCGGCTAAATGAAGTTATAGCGGGTATTGGTTTCCCTCTCTCTCTCTCTCTCTCTCTCTCTCTCTCTCTCTCTCTCTCTCTCTCTCTCTCTCTCTCTCTTTCTCGCTCCAAAAACCAACGTCAGAATGCAGGGCGCAAAATAGAAAACGAGCAGATTGTTGGCCGCCCGGCAAAAGTGGTCGCCGATGAGGAAAAGCTGAAGAAAATCCGTGATGATGCCTAAAGAAAAGGCCACCTTGATGCCAGAATTGACGCGCGTATTCCGGACGACAATGATACACGCGATTGCATTCAGCGAAGCCGCCGTGATGGCTATCTGAAGCGGAGATTTTGACACGGTTTTTATTAGTTTCTAAGATATAAAAGGTTCTAGATTAGAAAACATTGGCCTACAACAAAATACGCGATGGTGACGGCGACGTCGGTGGTCGAAGGGACGAAGTGGGCGACGAGATCGCTGTCGGCGGATTGTGTTGAGGTGGCTGGGGATACTGTAGTACTCGTCGGCATCTAATAACCAAAAATTTAACATTAGACATAATTGGTGCTTTCTCAGAATCGCGGAGGGAGAAACCGAATTTTTTAGACGAAAAACCTATTTTCGTTATTCCAATAAATTTTTAAGGTGTTTACTTTAAGGAATAGTTGCTGTACTAAAAGGTTATTCTTATTCTCTATATCTCCTCTATTTTGATTATTAAGATTGGATCCTAAGGAAAAATTAGGATTAATTATTTATTTAGAATTATTAATTAGAAATTAGAAACTTAGAAAAATGACGCTTCGAAAGCTTTGGTTTCCACGAAGCTAAAATGATGCGAGACCCCCAAATGAACATTGAAAACCAGAAAAATAGGCAACGATTTTCGTAAAACTCGCCGTTATTGCACCGTGAAGTGTTCATCTCCGGAAATTGGGTGCCCGGGTTACGGTAACGATCCGCCCACGGATTTTTCGGCTGAACAATTCGGGTGCTCCGGAAATTGGCGGATATCGCTCGCGGCTTGAGAGTTTGTGAACGTTTATCCAAAGTATCGCGGGCGGAAACGAGCCAATCACTGGAATCGGGGCAAGAAATAGGGTTGACTAGAGTTAGGCTGAACCCTCAATCAACTATAATAAATAAAAATATATTTGTTCTCAAAGGAACTCTGCTAGCTTGCCCATTGATTTTTCGAGATTTGGACTGTTTCGATTCAGACTAGCCTTGAAGGAATTTATGCATTTGTCAAGCTCTGAATATTAAAAAAAAACAGGTGGACAATCAAAAAATAAATAGCTTTTTATGTTTTTTAAAGGATTTGAGCGAGTTTTAGCGATTATTTTAATGCACAAAAGGTGAATTTGAGGTACGATAATAGAAATTTTTCCTCTTTTAAAGGCCGTCGATAGTCCTTGCTGTATTTTGTAATTTCATGTGTTTTCCGGGCGAGCCCCAAAATCCCGACATGCAAAATCGAAGTCGGTATTATGGCTGGAATTCGTTTTTATGCAAATGACGTTAATTCGATAGAAATTTATTCACTTTTCGCACGCACAAAAAGTGATATCTAAGAAAGTGGTGGAGGCACAAAGCAATTCCTAGCAAAAAACGAGGAACCAGTGTGGATGGTCTCCTTGTTTTTTCTGAATCTCAAAAATGACATATAATGGCAGTGATATGACTCAAGATGAACTCGAATTTTGGGGATTATGCGAATCTAGGCACCAAAATATCCGAAAGAGGAGTGACTGCGGTGAATTGCATATGGTTACCGGTATTATGGGGAGGGGGGGTACGGTAGCTGGGGCAATTTATGCCTTGGCATGGATGAGGTGTGTCTTTTCCCATTGGCTGCCCCCTCGACTGTCATCATCACCCTCCGATGGGCCGTATCGATTTGAGATTGCACGCATACCGATGGCCAAGTAGCTAAAAATGAGATTTTTGAGGATCGTTTTCGATATTTAGAAAATCCGGCTATCAGCGCAGGATTCAATTTCCCCAGGATAAATAGAGGAAACGTCTTTAAACTGCTGTTGCTATGCATACACGTATAAACTTCACAAAATTTTACTAGGAAACCAGGGTTGAAAAGCGGCTTTGCGACTTTTCAACCCTGGCCCCGTCTTACCCCCCACGCTTCATCACTTTGCATAAACTCCTTTCCTGGGCAAAAAAAAATGAAAGACGCCTCCCCTCCCCCATTATATAGGCTCTTCCCGTTTCCGGTGCATGCTAATTGATTCCTAACAAAGAGCCCGAGCGCGATTTTCACAAAAACCTATTTTTAATGTCGAAAACAGCTGATTTTGAAAAATCTTATATGCGTGCAGTCGTGTCATGACCATTACGCACCTAATGACGTATCATATATACCCGTAGCTTCTTCCTTTATTGAGATACGACTGGAACATACGGACGGAAGTTGCATGTAAATGCACACACACACACACACAAACACTATTTTTTATATATATAGTAGGATTAGGGTTTTTTACGATTTTCGACCAAAAGATGCGGATTTTCGACAAAAATTTCGAACGTTTAAAATTTTAAAAAGTTTTAAGATGGTTTTTCCACTTGAAATAGAGTTAAATTTTACTAAAACACGATTAAAAGACGTAATATTACACTACGAGTCCTACCTGGAATTATACAACAAATTTGGGGCCCCACCGATAATGCAAATGCACCGATATTTGATGGTATTTTAGGCATTTTTGGCCAGAACCGAAATACGCGAATTTAAGCGTCCATGCCCCTTTAAAATGGCCTACCTCGCCGGCAGATCGCCCAAATTGAGCGCCATTTGGTGGAGCACGAAGAGCCCGTCCGCGCCGAGGCGACTGAAATTTCAGTTTTATTTTACAAGTATTGTTTTACAAGTACCGACAAAAGCTTAAGAGGTTGATTATAAAAGATTCAAGCTCACTTGTAAAAATCGACAATCGAATCTCGCGACTTGGCCTGCGGATCGGTTTCCAAGAAGCTCGAGATGGCCGAGCGAGCCTGGAAATGTAAAAAAATTCAAGTTTAGCGGCACTGACTTTAACTAAAAACTATTTTTATCTTAAAAATAGCGATTTTCAAACAAATAACAAAGAATAACAATAAAAATCTACCCTGTACGGCACGGCGCACATGTACACCCAGTAGGCGGCGTTGATCGTTGAAATGACGGCCACGAACGCGATCCAGAACCAGAGGAAGAGAAACACCTTCTCGTAGTAGATGTTCATCGACAGCACGCACAACACCGTGTCCAGTTGGACGGAGGCCATGTTGCGTCGGTTGAAGTCACAATGTGTGATGCGGGGGAAGTGGCCGGTTACCTGGAGGGTGAGCATTTATCTTTCTCTCGCTCTCTCTCTCTCTCTTTCTTCTCTTTCTCTTTCTCTTTCTCTCTCTTCTCCTTACCTGCCAATCAACCCCGTGCACAACTTCGCCAAGTACAGACGGACCCCACAGCATGTAAGGAGAGCCGATCACCGAGTTGACGACGTAGAACTGAAAGAGATATTTATGTAAATAGACCCGCAAGACACGTCTATGCATTTTGCAGCGATAAGCAACGCTCAGCTTCCAGGCAGGCAACGTGCGCGTTGCGTATCGCGGATGCGATTAATCCGTGTAGAAAGTACATACGAAATTCCTACAAAAACCACCAACCTGCACCCACGCATTAATGGCCTGCAACGTCGTTCCGATGGCGTAATACAGCGGCATGTTGCGTGCACCTTTCTTTCGCGCGAGCCGCAACGCGTCCCAAATATACACGGCGGGGCGGCCCTCGAACCGGGCGATACGGTCTAGAATTGGTTTTTTGGGCTCTTGGCGGGGGTATGGTTTGTTTCCTCCCTTCTTTCCTTTTTTTTTTGTGGGGCCCCCCGCGCCCGGCGCGCGGGGCGCCGGTTTTGGTCCCTTGGGCGTGGCGTTATTGTTTATGTAAACAGAAGGGGGCGCGGGGGGGGGGGGGGGGCGGGGGGCGAAAAGAAAAAACCCTAGTTTTTTGAAGAAAAAATTAAAAGTTGGCGTAGTCGATTACGCAATGAAATTGGCGCGCGGCGTTTGGCGCGGCGCGGCACACATCCTAAATGGGGTAAACAACAGAATGAAAGGCGGATTTTTCTAAGCGTACCTCGGAATGGCGCGTCGTCCTTCTTGATCTCCGACCAAAACGTGTCGACGTACCGGATCGAGCCCGCCAAATCGTAGCCTAAAAAAACAAGATTAGATTTGAGACACGAGCATGGCATTACGACATCAAAACACGGTTGATAATTCGAAAACATCGAGAAAAATCTAACCCGAATACGCGCACAGCGATTTCCAGACAAAGCGCGGAAAGTAGAAGAGCAGCGCCTGGGCGGCTAGGATGTACGGCACCTAAAAACACGTTTAAACATTAATAAACCCAATTTTTATAAGAATCATTAATAGCTTAAGAAAATTCTGACATGATTTTCTTTCGTTTCATTCAATTAAAAATGTAATGCAAAAGCCCACCCATTGATAGTAAGTGATGGGCTGCTTTTTTCGTTCGTCATCATCAAAAGCGAGCTCGTCGGAAAACGGCACAAAATAGGTGCCGTGCACGAAGCAGTACTGGTTAACGAAGTCCGACCACTAAAATGGGAGTTGAAAATTATCTCTGACAGTAGGCATAAAATTTTGTAAAGTCTAAGCAATCGAAGCTTAAGCCTAAGCCTTTTTAAGGGCCATTGAAGGTACCTGTTTCGTAAATTGGGCGGGCACCCAGCAGGTGATGGCGTCCCCGAAGAATTGGCCGGACAGCAGCACAACAGCGCTCACGGCGAGGATAGTTACGGTAATTCGGGAGTTCAATCGGTCAGCCTGAAAGCAAAATTATTTTAAAGGGGTTTAAAGGGGCAAGCCTAATCCGAAGCCGAAGCCTAAGCCTAAGCGAAGACCAGGAAACTTCTAAAATCCCTAAAAACCCCTACTCGTCTGCCCAACTTACAAGATCTCCTTTCGGTTGCTGGAAGACGCGGACAATGAATGTGTTGAGGGTGGTGATGGCCGTGATATGGGAACTCATCCCTGCCACCTAGTCGGGGTTACGGTAGTCTTGGGGCACCAAATAGGGTACCCAGCGATCGAGCGCTAAAATGTGCACCTAGTCGATACCGAAAAACACTGATAAACACTGAGAAAAAATGATGTTATACCTTAGCTTATTAAATCCGACCTAAATAAATTCTATAGATTAAAAAATATATATTTTCCCACCAAAAAGCTTTTAAAAAGCAAATTTAATGCAGATTACCAAAAACGTCATTTGAAAACGCAGGTATTGGAGGGCCCTGGGAAAGACAGGAAGCAAAAAGGGGAGAAGCTGATGCTTGTTCGAGCACTTCTCGACAAATACTGTAACGGGCAGGGGGTGGTCAAATAGAAAAAGAAGGCAACACCCCCCTAGTGGCTTCTGCCCCTCGTTTGAAGGTTTTCGCGAAATTTTTAGCAAATGCTAGCTGTGGTTCTGGCGGGTGGAATTTTTTGGGTGAAGTTGAAGTCGTCAGGAAAATCACCACCTCCTAATTTTTGCCCTAGACCTAGTATACCGCCTAAAAATTTGAAATTGCAGCGAAAATCCGAATTTTGGCAGAAATATATTTTTTAAATAGTAATTTGTAGTTTTTACGCATGTTTATTGTAGTCTTACCTAAAAAGAGACAAAGTACACGATGAAATCGAAGAAATAGACCTTCGAAATCCCCACCCCCACCTCACCCGTTCCATTAGCTCGGTCGTTAGCGCCCACCAAGAGGCCATATGAAGTATTCATTAAAACAAAGACAGAGGGTAGGGTAAGAAGCGGAAAAGGAAATTCTGTTTGCTATCGTTAGCCCATAAGCCTAAGCCTAAATGAAGCCCGAGCGTAACGTAGAACCTTTCGTAGCTTTCGAGACCTTGCGGGCGGCAGGCGTCGATTTACTAGGTTTTTCAGTCACTCTTTCAGTCAATTCTTCAGCAGCCCGAAATTTGGGATATTTCCGGTTTCTGGTAATCGGTCGGGAGCTTTCCAGAAGCTGACCAAGAAGCTCATACGACAGCACAGCCCAACCCAAACAGTCCAAAATTATTTAAGGTGGTTTTAAAGCTTAAAATTTAAACCGCCGTTTATTGGAAAGAGCGTACAGTCCGGGAAACGGATTTGGGGGCTTGTGTGAATAGGATTGTTGAGGACTGACTGACTGTGGCTGGTTGTCCTCTCAAAATCTCAACATGGCTCTTCCCCCCTCCCCCAACCAACGATTTCTTGAGAGAGACAGATAGAAAGCGAGAGAGGGGCGGAGGTAGAGAGAGAGAGAGAGAGAGAGAGAGAGAGAGGTGAGAGAGCGAGTGAATATACTGTGTTGACACGACAATTCCGATAGGGTCCTCCACTACACAGTGCTACTGCTTGCACGTTCACTGGGAAGTACTCGACATTCCGGGGCAATTCGATGCCGATTCGAGTTTTGGCGACACAAAAAACCGTGCTAGCAGCTTCCGGAGTCATCTCAAGTTTTTTTCTTTGAATTTTTTTCGAGGAACAGAGGGTAAAATACCGATCCGGGGAAAATCCCGACAGCCTAACATCTGACATTCAAAATCGTTTCGGGGTTCCGTCTTGTCGAGATTCTGACCTCGCGGGATCTTGGCTGTCGGTATTATGGGTTGTCGGGATTATGATGTCGGGATTTTGGCTTTCGGGATTATGGCTTGTGAGGATTTTTAGCCGTTTAAATTTTGCGTCGGGTTTTGACTTGTCGGGATCATGGGTTGTCTGGATTATTGGTTGTCGGGATTTTGGATCTCGGGGTTTCGGCTGTCGGTATTCTGGCTGTCGGGATTTAAGCCCTAAAACCATTGTTAACATTTTTTTACAAATAACAGCCTTCTTCTAGAAAAAACCAGAACCGGAACAGGAAATGTAGACCTAGGAAAATAAGCCACAAATTTTTGATTTTTTAACACTGTCGCAACTCTAAAAATCGAATAAATCCTACTATATATAAAAAAATAGTGTTTGTGTGTGTGTGTATATTTGCATGCACTTC